TACCTCTCAAAAGAAATATCATTTGCTTCTCGCATAAATCTCAAATGACGCCTTTTGAGCTTGCAAAATGGCTTTCCTTCTACATCACTTTATGTTAAGGGGTTGCAATTGGATAAAACATTCCCATTAGGGTACCGTTCCTGTGTAAGCCCGTTCCGAAATGTAATGGCTCCCGAGGGACGACCTGACGTCACGCTTGCATTTACGTTACATCAAATTACGCTAAGAACTTTATAAGTGAGCTTTTTTTCTTTTATACAATATAGGTAATGAAGATAGGAATTTCATACAAATATCATCATCATCATCCTATTATTCCCCCACTGTTGGGTTACAGACCTTCCCTGTGTAGGGGAATAGGGAGAATGGGCCGAGACCCACCACGCGGGCTGAGTGCGTTTTGGTGGGTGCTAACGACTGCAGATGTAGCCGACGGCTTAATGTGCCTTCCGAAGCACGGAGAAGCTCGAAATAATAAGTCTTTGGTCACCCATCCAATGACTGACCATTGCGAAAGTAGCATAATTTTTAAGATCGCAAATCGAACGCGCTCACAAATTTCATGTTTAGGTTATTATGTATAGAAAACCAACCCAGTTAAACACAGTACAAAATCAAATCGACCCAACCGTTTAGAAGGAGTTTAATCGCATCTCATTATGTAGTAGTGTGCAACACTGTAACTTTTACAAAAATGCACTTCTTTAGAAATTATTAAATATTTGGTGTCTTATAAAATTATGATAATTTTTGAATTTGGCAACATGTATTTTCCAATTTGCTGCAGTCTTTCAAAAGCTATGTGCGTACATAAATTTCAGTAATTCATTTCGAAAATGACACGAAGCTGACAGCGTGGTAGCTATTCTATACCTATGTCCTATTATCTCTTCTGTATCTGCGCAGACGAGGGTCTTTCGTCCGCGGAGGACTTTTTTCCCCATATCATGAAAAAATTGTCCGCCAAGGACGTCTTGTCAATAGGACCATGTGGTCATGATAGATGGCGCTGTTAGCTTAGTTCCCAAATCGCGCTATCAATGCGTTGCAAAAAAAACTATTTGATAATAATAAAGCGTAAATTTTAAGCAGTGCCTATATGTGCCTTATAATATACTAGAGGTTGAAATTTTTGAAGACTCCTACCTCTTCTCGCTAATTTCAGCAGTAGATGGAAGGATGTCTTCATCATATAAAAAGCGGCCAAGTGTGAGTCGGACTCGCCCATAAAGAGTTCCATAGCAGCAAGTGACATATTATAAAACTTCTTGTAGTTCGTTGTAACTTTGATCGATGTTTTAATAATATTGTATTTTTTTTATTAAGTTGATAAGTACACATTATGGTTCACGGTTTATGTTTATGAAATTAAATGATTTTTTTATTTTTATAATGGAGTTGCTTGACTGAAAGGTAAATTGCGGTTAACGATTTGTGACGAATTAAAAAACAATTTACTAACTAGATCTCGTTCAAACCAATTTTCGGTGGAAGCTTACATCTCTTATTTTAAAAGTTACGGGGGGGGGGGGGGGGGCACACACATTTTACCACTATGAAAGTGTCTTTCGCAACACAAAACCTTTCGGCCAAAACTCGTTTTTAATAAAGTTCGCTAGATGTTCGTTTGGTACTCTCACCACGAATGAATTAAAATCGACCGATCGACCCGGTTCACATTATGGCAAGATTCCAACCGTGCGACTCTTAGGGAGAACTTCATCTTTATCCGCAGATACTTTACGATCTCTTATTCTTCCTACGTAGAGTAATCCATCCGGGGCACGTACAGCGGCGTCGTTGGTATGGTGGGACGCAGCAGATGGTCCGGTCAGGGCACCACCACACAGGTTGCGGAGATCAGGCTTCCTCTTCTTCCTTTCGACCTTGATAAAGCCTTCTTCGTCACAATTTAGATTTTGTGATGCCGCCGGAGTTGCAACTTTGTGTTTGCTACTCTTCTCTGTTTGTTGTAATATCTGTCGCTCTGGTTTCGGCAAATGACAATAAAGTTTATTCAAAATGACCTCCGTGATTTTGAATACAGGCCTTCAATCTTCGCGGCCAGTCGTCTATCGCAGCACGAACGAGGTCCATGTCAATATCGGCGGCTACCCTAATAAAGGATGTCTTGAATAACTCCAAATTGGAATGAGGCTTTGAGCACGCCTTTTCCTTCAAGTGTTGCCATATCTTGTAATCTAACGGACTCAAATCTGGACTGGAGGTGGGCCAGTCTTCGTGCCGGATGAAGTCGATTTCACGCGCCGCCAGGCAGTCTTGTGTGCTCTTCGCTCTATGAGCTGGCGTCGAATCTTGTTGGAATACTCAGTGCCTGTTATTGAACATGGTTAGAGAAACAGGTTCTACAAGGTTCGTCAGGACTGTTTTTTGATACACAACTGCATTCGTTTTTACACCTTTCTCACAAAAATGTACCTCTGTTAAGCTAAAATAAGAAACTCCCAACCATACCACGAGCGAGGATGGAAAATGACCTCGTTGGACACGCGAAATACGGTTGCTCGCTTCTTCACTACTGTGTGCGTACACCTTATCATTTTGTTTGTTGTAGCTCTCTTCTACGGAAAATTTTTTTTCATCCGAAAAAAGAATTTCCCGATATTTTTTTCCCGCGTACCGCTTCAACAAAGCGCGGCATCTCTTCAGTCTCAAGTCCATTAGACGAGCATTCAAACGATGTCCTGTTTTTCTTCAATATGCCCGAAGCCCTAAGTCTTCATTTAACACCCTTTTCACCGTGGTGCTGCTTAACCCCATCTGAAGAGCCAACAGTTTCTGCTTACGTTTGGGATTTCTTTGAATTCGCGCCTTCACAGCTTTTATCACTACTGGAGTCCTAACAGACCGAGGGCGACCACTTCTTGACCTGTCATCTACACTAGAGTCTTCATTGTATCGTTTGATGGTACGATAAACGAATCTTTTGGTTATATTGAAATTCAGTATGTCAAAAATTTTAATTGGCGCGTAACCGCAACGATGCAACGCAATAAGTGCAATACGGTCTTCTTTAAGCGTCCACTCCATATTTAAAAATGAGTAAAATTCTAAAAAGTATACATTTTTATTTTCATGAACAATTCGAAATTTGAATTCAATAAACTTTTTTGTGGCCAGCATTCTAAAAGAAAAGTTTTTACTGTGTGACAATGCTGATGACCTGACTGTGTATTTATACATATATACACAAATACATACAATATTTTTTATATTTATTCGCTGCCAAAAGTTTGATAAAGGTATCCGTGCTGTTACTAAGCACTCGCTGTCTGTAAATCACACTTTCTCTCTGTCTGTCAACGGACATAATCTCATAAACCGTAAAATGTATATTTTTATAAAGTTTATAATTTATTTTTTACAATTAAAAACAATATTCAATAAAATTTAAATGTAGTTAAAGCATTATAGTACAGTCAATCTGTAGGTTGAGTGGTGATAAAAAAACCTAAAGGGTAAGTCTTGTTTTTTCTGTTGCCAAATGACGTCAGTAAGCCACCTTGGCGATGGGCATGTTCAACTCGTAGGTGTTTTTTGAAAAACTCAAAAAAACCGTCAAAAATTTTTTGAAACGCATTTTTCGTGTTTTGTATGCATTTTAGAAACTTTTTTTGACCATAATTGTAGAGGGCGTTGAGTACTACAATTTATGTCATTGTTGCAATCTCGTACAACAAAAAATGCGCATTGTAGGTGGCGCTAAAGTCTCAAAAAAGTGTTTTTCACTTTTTCACCCTGAAAATATCATTTTAATGGAAAACTTTAAATGGCAAAGTTGTTTCGTACATAATTACCAACAACTTTTGTATAAACAATTTTTTTGTATTACTTACCGTTTTCAAGTTATAAATTGCGCAGGTATGAAAAATCCAATAGAGCGGTTTTGGGCAGTTCAAGTACACATTTGCAGTGCACATTTCAATGTACGTTTTTACTATTTTTTTTTCAATCATGAAAAAAAATAAAAATAAAACTATTTATTTTTTATTTATTTTCATTCTTTTTTGTTTTTCAATCATGAAAAAAAAATAGTAAAATAAAAAATAGTAAACCGTACATTGAAATGTGCACTGCAAATGTGTACGTGAACTGCCCAAAACCGCTCTATTGGATTTTTCATACCTGCGCAATTAATAACTTGAAAACGGTAAGTAATACAAAAAAAATGTTTATACAAAAGTTGCTGGTAATTATGTACGAAACAACTTTGCCATTTAAAGTTTTCCATTAAAATGATATTTTCAGGGTGAAAAAGTGAAAAAACACTTTGAAAAATATTAAAGAGAGATCGCAGGTCAGACATCTATATATAGTAATTGATGTTGCTCTGGCTTACAAAATGTGAAAAATAAAGACAGATCTAATCTTGTGTCAGTTGTTTATCGTTGACGTCCACTCACCAAGTTTTTCTTGCAACACGGTCTTGGTGTCGCAATGGACGAGGCAGAGGACGAAGAATAGAGCGCGACATGCAACCCTATTTTTGTCCGATGGTGACGTCACATTCTTATATTAATAACGAAAGTGGTATAAATGCACATTTAAAATAGATTAAATCTTGTGTCAGTTGTTTATCGTTGACGTCCACTCACCAAGTTTTTCTTGCAACACGGTCTTGGTGTCGCAATGGACGAGGCAGAGGACGAAGAATAGAGCGCGACATGCAACCCTATTTTTGTCCGATGGTGACGTCACATTCTTATATTAATAACGAAAGTGGTATAAATGCACATTTAAAATAGATTAAATCTTGTGTCAGTTGTTTATCGTTGACGGCCACTCACCAAGTTTTCCTTGCAACACGGTCTTGGTGTCGCAATGGACGACGCAGAGGACGAAGAATAGAGCGCGACATGCAACCCTATTTTTGTCCGATGGTGACGTCACATTCTTATATTAATAACGAAAGTGGTATAAATGCACATTTAAAATAGATTAAATCTTGTGTCAGTTGTTTATCGTTGAGTTCCACTCACCAAGTTTATCTTGCAGCACGGTCTTGGTATCGCAGTGGACGAGGCAAAGTACGAGGAATAGCGCGACGTGCAACGCCATTTTTGTCCGGCGGTGACGTCACGTGTGGATGGCGGGAAGGGACACCAGGCTGCCATGCTCTTCCCGCGTATCCATTATAGGATCTGTGAACAACGAAAGGATGACGTGAATAATGTTCCGAGTAATATGAAGATTTCTTTAATCGTGCCGGTCTGGGACCTAAAGAAAAATATATGTAATGTGTTATATTATAATTTTATTTATCCACCGTTTAGGCGCCTTTCTCATCAGGTCGGTGCACGGTCGTTTCGTTTTCGTTTCTGTACCGAATCTGTGTAGATTCTTTACCGAGTGCATATAATTTAACGAGAGCTTCCTCACTGAAGAGTTTTGGTACAGAATCTTTACCGAGCGGATACACAGCTCTCTGTACCAATTGCTCCTGAATGCTAACGAGTGCTGCTGAACCAAACGACTCCCGTCCCATCATACCCGCAAAATAAAACCGTAGCAAACTAAACGAAACGAAACCGCAACAAAACAGAACCGATCAAAAAGTGTTTCTCGTTAAATAATTTGTACAGATTCGGTACAGAAACGAGTCCGCATCGACCCGGTGAGGAAGGCACCTAAGTTTGTCTCGAAAAGATGGCAGTACTGTGATAAGACTGCTTTTTATGAATATCTCATTTTTTATGTTTATAATAAAGTGTTTTCCTTTCAACTCTACATAATCTGATGAGACTCAATATACAGCATCAAAACCTGCAGCTGCTTGGAATTAAAACTTAACAATAAAAACGTAGCCGCTAAGTCACATTAAGGACAGAAAGATGAATTTCATTACACCCTTTGTTATTTTATGACTGTCGTTATATTTATCACAAATCTACAGAATACTATAACGAGCGAAAAGGCTTTTTAAGTCAATAAAACTGATATCATTGCAACAAAGACATTGGTCATAATTTAAGCTATCGTAGTTATTAATATTTTGGCGGTCTAAAATAAGGTTATTATAACTTTTATGAACTGTAGATTGGTTAGGTTTTACAGTGTTGGTATTTCTAAAAAATGTCAGTCAATATCAGATGGTTCTTCACTCTGTTGGACGTTACATATGTATGTTTTCGTATCTTACTTCATCTACACTTAAAACCAGGTGGGATATGGTAATTTTATGAATTACAAAATATGTACATACATTTTAATTTTGCTAGTTCATGTCCTCATACCACATTTAAAGTCAACGCAAATATCACGCTAGAACGCCAAACAAAATTACATTACACCATTCCTCAAAACCTTTTATTTCCACATCCTCCAAGTCGAAGAATTACCAAAGAAACTCAAAAGTCGGGGAGATATAAAACTGTAATATTTAACTCCCCCGGCAAATAAACTTCGCGAATTAAGTTACTAACTTCCCGCCTAATCTTTGGAGGCATCTGCTGTAACCAAAGTGAGGGTCATGAATAAACTATCAGGGGGTTGGAAACTCCCACGTCCAGAGCTGGCAAGGAGCCGCGTGCTCTCAAAAAGGAATTAACCCACGGACAGCGGCACAGGACAGATTTTATTACCGCCATTAATAAATTCCTCTGGGACGCGACGATCCCGCATCGTAAATTATAATGACACGTTGAAACTAGCTATCGCATCTAGAACAACTGTGTTGGACGTAGGCCTGAGCGAAAAACTTCACGTGATACAGTGATGCGTGCGACCAAGCTCTTGTGGTACTTAGATGACATTAACAGTAGAGCTAGAATTATTCACCAGTACGCTGCTGGTGAATAATTGGTGAAATGAGGATAACTAAGTACGCAAAATCTCCTTACTAAAGGGAACGTTATAATTTGCCATTGCTCAGAAAGAGTAAAAGGGAATATAAAAGCCTTACACCTTCCTCTTTTTTTTAATGTGTGTGTGTGTGTGTGTGTGCTGTTGGTCGCAGGTGACCTTTTCAGCGTCACCGGTTTTGGAGACGGCGAGATCCTAAGGGGACCTCAAGCCGAGAATTGGCGAGTGCCTCTAGAGGTATTCCAGGCGGATGGCATTTCCCCACGGGGGAAGTCTCCTCTCCGTCTGGAGCCTCTAGACCACTCGAACCTGAGGGGGTCGGCTCAACTAGAGGGCGTCTCTGAGACTCAGACCTCGGCTCTAGTAAGCCGTTGTCGTGGGGGGCGGGGAAAAACGCCCAGGTAAGTACTTGTACCTGGTATAGCGTGTCGTGTGTAGACCGTGTCTTAGCACTCTTATCCTACGGATGCGGTGTCTGTCTGTCTGTCGCCTGTAACATTAAAATTATTACTTTCATAATATTTCTTCAATAGGAAAACAATATAATTAGGAAAAACGGCAGGTAAAGGAGATAATTATTGATTGGTAACAAATCGGAAATGAACTGAGTTTTATGTTTTTATAACCAAGTAGGCAAATTACTCTACCCCACCTTATGTTGAGTGCTGATAGAGTCCAAACGCAAAGATATCTGGAACAGCAGTTATAAACAACTACACCAACCATCCTCACCTTGCCGGCCTGCAAAAATGCGTCTTCACGCCTTAAGGAGTTTAGCAGTTTTGTCTTTTTTGACAAATTTTAAACAGGGCTTATTGCATTGTCATAGCCTTTGTTCTGTTGTCATAACCATGTTCTTAAGTTGGAATTTGGTAAAAAATATGTCCGATATTCAACCTTAGATGGCTCTCATATTTAAGAACGAGACTGTACTTATAAGACAACTTCAGTTGAACGCCACAATCGCTTCTTTTCCACATCAATTAAGGCAAGACAATGACGTAGCGCTTCCTGAACTTTATCAAGAACCACGTTTTATCGCCTTACTGAATAATATATAAAATACTCTACTGGATTACATCCGATGTTAAATATTGTAGGCTCAGCTAGGCAGTCTATATTTTGACATAAATGAAGCCATGTTTTGATGAAAGTGAAACCTATATCGGACACGCTTTCTGTGTAATAGATTCTTCATTTTCGGGTTTCTATGTTAGGATTTCAACGAATATTATTTTCTGTGTCAGTTTTATAGCAATAGCTATTGATATGAATATCAATGGAGAAAATTTAATGTCAGAAAAAAGAATTTCATAATGAGAATTGAAATTGAAGAATGGTTTTTATTATTTTGAAACAATTACTTTAGAAAGATGTGTATTAATAGATGGAAAAGACCTGGAACCCTCACCAGGTCGACTGACGTCATCAATGGGGGGGGGGGGGGCAGTGAATGCGGAAAGTCCAGCAATGACCGTCCATGAGCTGATTAAGATGATGATGAAGACCTGGAAAACTACTCCAGCAGTTTAATCCAGCTGAGAAAATAGCTAATTAGCAGACATATGTACGAATCGCAAGAGCCACTATCACTGCCTTGACCCAGTGAAACTAGTAACCTTCCCCGCTGAAGAAGTATTATATTTAATACTAGTGGTTCGCCAACGCTTTAAATAAATAAATATAAATAAATAAATATTTCCGACACTCACACCAATTAGTCTAGCCCCAAAGTAAGCACTATAAGGCTTGTGTTATAAGATGCTAGGGTAACGGATAGAATACATATACTGTACATATATAAGTATATTTATATAAATACATATTAAATATCCATGACTGGAGTACAAATGCTCGTATTCATCACACAAACATCTGCCCCCACCGGGATTCGAACCCGGGACCTCTCGAGTCGGCGACAGCCATGAAACCCGGCGTACAAACCACTCGGCCACGGAGGTCGTCAAAAGGTCGCTTTGCTTCGGTGTAGAGCTGAAGTGTACGAAGACTATAGTTTTTGTTCTCAGGCTTTAATTATACACAATGAATTTCTTTATAGAATATTATTATGCGTTACCTCATATTGAAGTCATTTTTCAATTTGACGACTCTGTATATAATACAGGGGGGAAAAAAACAGCCCTTGCTGAGTTTCTTGCCGGTTCTTCTCAGTACAAGGTCTCCCGCCATTTGCGAACCGATGGCGTAGCTTTTCGACATTCACAAGTGCTTGTAACAGCCTAGACTCAATAAACGATATTGAATTTTGATTTGAATTTTTTGAATTAAATAATTATGAAGCTTTCATGAAAATTTATTTAACTGATAGTGAAAATTTGTTGCGTACTTTAGGACCCGTTGCACGAAATACACAAAATTTTTTTGGTTGAACGCGCAAATCTCAGGAACTAATGGTCCGATTTAAAAAAAAAACCTTTTAGTGTTAGATAGTGCATTTATTGAGAAAGGTTTAAAGCTATATAACATCACGCTGCGACCAGTAAAAGCGGATTATTGATGTAAAATATTGCAAATACCGGTAAAAATATACCATTTTGTGAGCTTCCGTTGCGTGCGCTGCGTAAAGTTTTGTTTTAGTTAGATTAAAGTTACAAAAAAATAATGTATGGCAGAATTGTTCTCCTTTAAAAGTTTTATATAAAAATCTGCGACAGTATATGCCCATCTTTTAAGTTTGGCTCACTATAATCTTTTTCCTCAAATTAACGCAGGTGAAACCGCAGGGGACCTTCAGTTGTGTCATAACTGTAATAGTTAGACAAATAGTATCGCAAACTTTTTTGTAGATATTGATGTCCTCTAAAAAACTTCAATACATTATTTTGCTGAACTGTCAATAACTTCCGCAGCGTAAGCGATTTAAGGTAATTTTTTGGTATTATTTTCACACCCTGGGTTACGTTATCGAAATTTTCATACGGAACCCTAACTTTTTTGAAAATACTCTATAGCCTATGTTCATCAGGGATAAAGTAGGATTCTAAAAGTGAAAGAATTTTTCAAATCAGTGCAGTAGTTTAAGAGCCTATTCAATACAAACAAACAATAAAATCTTTCCTCTTTATAATATAATAAGTATAGATTACATTATCTTAGGCAAAATTGTCGTTTTTCTTTTTTTTTTTAGAGACTGAGGATGCAATTTTAAGATTTGAAATATCATTGGATTTGAATGAGTATAAATCGGTTAACCTTAAGAAAACGGGCTTATTCTTGGATGTGACGTTATTCAGAGACGAGTTTAGTAAATCGGTATGAAGAACCAAAACCGACTATCAAAAAAATTTATTAAAAAAAAATGAATGAAATGCGTTGTGGA